CAGACATGGATATCGCAGACATGGATATCGCAGACATGGATATCGCAGACATGGATATCGCAGACATGGATATCGCAGTCATGGATATCGCAGTCATGGATATCGCAGTCATAGATATCGCAGTCATGGATATCCCAGTCATATACATATCAGACATATACATCTCAGACATGTATATCTTAGCCATAGATACCACAGACATGGATATCTCAGCTATAGATATTGCAGACATGGATATTGCAGACATAGATATCGCAGACATGGATATCTCAGCTATAGATATTGCAGACATGGATATTGCAGACATGGATATCGCAGACATGGATATCGCAGACATGGATATCGCAGACATGGATATCGCAGACATGGATATCGCAGACATGGATATCGCAGACATGGATATCGCAGACATGGATATCGCAGACATGGATATCGCAGACATGGATATCGCAGACATAGATGGATATCGCAGACATAGATGGATATCGCAGACATAGATATCGCAGACATAGATATCGCAGACATGGATATCTCAGCCGTAGATATCGCAGACATGGATATCTCAGCCGTAGATATCACAGACATGGATATCTCAGTCATAGATATCGCAGTCATGGATATCGCAGCCATAGCTATCGCAGTCATGGATATATCAGCCATATATATTAGTCATGGATACCTCAGCCATAGCTATCGCAAGCATGGATACATCAGCCATAGCTATCACAGTCATGGATATATCAGCCATAGATATCACAGTCATGGATATCTCAGCCATAGATATCGCAGACATGGATATCTCAGCCATAGATATCTCAGCCATAGATATCTCAGCCATAGATATCTCAGCCATAGATATCGAAGCCATAGATATCGAAGCCATAGATATCGCAGCCATAGATATCGCAGACATGGATATCTCAGCCGTAGATATCGCAGACATGGATATCTCAGCCGTAGATATCGCAGACATGGATATCTCAGCCGTAGATATCGCAGACATGGATATCTCAGCCGTAGATATCGCAGACATGGATATCTCAGCCGTAGATATCGCAGACATGGATATCTCAGCCGTAGATATCACAGACATGGATATCTCAGTCATAGATATCGCAGTCATAGATATCGCAGTCATGGATATCCCAGTCATATACATATCAGACATATACATCTCAGACATATATATCTTAGCCATAGATACCGCAGACATGGATATCT